TGCCGGGGCTTTTGGGATTTAATTTAAACAGGGCGGTTGTTTGGGGGCCCTTTTTTTTGATCCAAAAAAAAAAAAAAAAGGATTTGGTGTTTTTTCCCAAATTCGCGGAACAGTGGCGGCCCTTCTTCCCTTCTTCCCGGGGTCTTGGTTATCCCATTTTCCTCCCCTTTGGGTTTTTTGGGGGCTCCCCGGGGGCCCCTTTTTTTTTTTTTGGAGGGGATTTTTGAGCCATATTTTGGGAAGACCAGGGTTTTGGATTTTTTTTTTTTGAACCCCGGGGGGTCCCCCCCACTTTGGGGGTGGGTTGGCGGCCCGGTTTTTTGGGGGGGGTTTGGGGTCCCCCCCCCCCCCCCCCCCCCTACTCCGCCCCTTCGAGGCACCCCTTCAACACTGAACCTTAACCTTGCCTTCCTTGGGGCGGGGCCGTGCCAAGCGTACGTTTGAGGGTCGAAAGTTTGAAATCGAAAGTTTGAAATCGCCTCCAAGGAACTCCCAGCTTCGCTCAAGTCTGTCCGCCGCTGTTTCGCTCTCAAGTCCGACCTGACCACACCTATTTTATCCTTTGGCGTTTTTCCTGCCAAGCCCAAGCTTTCACCGCAGGTTGACTCGAAGATGGCATGTACACACTCATGTCCACCCTTTTTGTTCGCAGGCACCAGAACAAAAAAAAAACAGCAGTGCTTGTGTGCTAACTCTTCGCCTTTTTCTGCTCCCGCCGCTTTTGCTTATCCCCTACTCTTCGCTGATTGGCCAGGGGGTATGCTCCAACTTCCTGTGTCGGGCGCGGGCGGGGCAGGAGGTCACCCTCACCGGCCCCAGCGGCAAGATAATGCTCCTGCCGGAGGAAACCCCGGACGCGGACGTGATCATGGTGGGGACCGGTACGGGAATCGCTCCCTACCGGGGCTTCCTGCAACGGCTCTTCAAGGAGGACACGCCGGCCGCAAGGTCAGACTGAGCTTGCATATATGCGTACAGCAGTTGACGTAGGTCCCTAACGAGGGCAACCGCTTTCGAAGGAGTCGAGAAATTGGTGAGGTTGTGTGGGTGGGCACCATCTTGTTCTACACACAGCTTGCTGTTATTTTTGCTCTTGCTTCATGCTTTTTCGTAGCCCCACCCCCCTCTCCGCCACTTTTGTCGCTGCCGCCATGTCCATCACTGGTCTATTATAGCCCGGCAGCATCCCAAGTCAGCCTTTTATTTTTGTTGGTGTGTTTTTGTCTTATTTTTTTGCGTGCCCAGGGCGTTCAAAGGGGCCCGCCATGTCCACAGCTGGTGTAGTCCAGCGGTACCGTCAATGTCGGAGAGATGCACCCCTGTGTCAGCGTTTTTTTTTCGGTGGTGGTACCCCCCTGGTTGTGGAGAAATACGCTACAAGAAAACGCAACACGGGGGTACCATCTCTCCGACTCTTACATTATTCTCATGCCACCACCCCTCAGCCTTTCTCTTTTTGGTTTTTTGTACCCTCTTTTTTTTTTTGCGTTCCCAGGGCGTTTACGGGGACCGCGTGGCTTTTCTTGGGGGTGGCCACGACCGAAGGCCTGCTGTACCACGACGACTGGATGGAGATGCTCAGAAAGTTCCCGTTCAACTTCAGGTGCGAGGGAAGGGAGGAAGTAAGGAAGAGAGGAACTCGTGGGGGGGATATGTATATCGACGGTTACACGAAATACTTTCCCGTGGTGCTTATTTTGTCTTTCTGTGGTTTCGCCTCCCGCCCCCCCCGGTGTTTGCCATCGGGGTTTGGGTTTTCGTCGCTTGGCAACGACGTTGTAAAACAAGCCCCCCACTCGGTGTTTGCCATCGGGATTGGGTTTTCGTCGCTTGGCAACGACGTTGTAAAACAAGCCAATTCACTTCGTGAACTCGGCAACCAGGTTACCGTTTTTTTTTTACCTCGTTTTTTTTTTTTTGGCGGTAACCATAATGGTGGTCGAGTAGATCATGTTGTGCGGGGTGGAGAAACCTCACTCCGCGCAACGGGGGATGATCGTACCACGTTGTGTTAAAATGGTCAAGCTTCCTCGAGGCAGTTACACAGTGCTTACAACTGTCTCTGGAAGTAAAAGCACCAGAAAGTAAATTAAGTCATACGTAGCTGTCATCCGTACGCAAGGAGGTAAGCACAAGATGCCGAACACCCTTAGCAGGATGCAGCTCACCCTTCATGCGACTCGCCAAATACCTCACGGCGCTTCGCGC